CTGGGTTCAAGAAAAGCATGGAAAGACCTGAGATGGGTTGCTAAGTCCAAAATCTCTATATCCACCACAGCATCAAGACAGATGGACAAAACATGACTGCTCTGTTAACAGGAGGAGAATCACAAAATCAGCAACAATGGTCCTGGTCCTGCTGTAAGGAGCCAGCTGCATTTATACTCAACAGCAGATATTCAGAGCTTACACCAGCCAGAAAGGTGTCATGGCTTCCATAATCATCCTTTCTATATCTGAATGTATACAACACAAACACACCTACACCTATGCACATACACACATGAATCAGTTTAGTCTCCAACATGTTTCACATACACGTGTGTACATGTATATTTCGCTAGAAACTGAACAGATGACAAATAATACAGTCTGAGTCATTTATTTGATGCTGTTCCCGTGTCTTATTTTGTCAGTATGCAGCAGAATGTTCTATGGAAAACAGAGTACAAAAGTTCCTAAGGACAGGAGTAAATAGACTCTGGATGTTTAGAAGAGAACTGGGGAAGATATAAGATAGTGAGACAAATGCATTGGATGTAAACCTCTCTGAGATACATCACTCACCTGCAAACCAGTTCAAAACATTTGATATTCACGTTTCACAGCTAACAAAAATTGTTTTAACAACGCAATTTGTTCCTTCCAAAAGCTGATCTATCCAGAAAATACTACTGGGTCAGTTATGCAAGTCATGTTTTAGAAGCATTTTTCCCCTTTAGTCTTCTACTTTGAGAGCTTGTTACATATTTATTCAGTTGAAAAAGAATTGAAAATAGTAAGGTAGTTTGATAAAGGTTTTACAAGTAAAAAGTATGAAGTATTAAACTTGAAAAGATATGGAGCTTTCTAAATAAATAACTTCTTGAATAATACTCCCATACAATTTCTAACAGATTAATGTGTAAAGAAAAATATTTTAACAGTTCTGTGTCTAAACCCACATTAGAATTTTAAACCAGTAAAGTCTTAAAATTCTTTAAAGCTCTTAGATTGTATTCATTTAACTTATATTCATTTTAAATGAATAGAAAAACAAGGTTCCAGATTGTACATGAGGCAAACATTTTTGAAAATTTTTTGTCTACAATTTTTTTTCAAATAAATCTCTGGACAGGGATTTATAGTTTTGTAGTAAGTAACCTTGATGTTTCAGGTCAAGACAACATTATTGAATGTCTCTCCTGCTGTTTTTTAAATTTCAGACTGGGGATTGCAAACCCCCTCCCACTAACAACTGGGATTACAAATTAAGTTTTCACCTGATTATCCCTAATTTGTTTAAGTGAATCAGAAATTATAATTCAAAGATATAGTAGTTCCCTAATACAAGTAAAAGAGTTACAGCTAAAATACAAAAGGAAAAAAAGAAGTCTAACTTTACCAGAGCTTAATGAGGTAAGGTACTAGTATCTCAGTGGGGAGGCAACTAAATTGGGTGATTATTCCAACATGTCACACTGAGGTCTGACAATTTATGAAAGCTGAATATTTAGATTAAATTTGCAAGTGATAGCCATAATTCTGTATTTAGATCTTTGAATTACCCAAACAATTTCAGTGTTACAGCTATTAATTTTTTTTCCAAGTTAATTTGTACAATATTGTATTAATATACATTCTTTTTTCAAATCAAAAAAGTATGCAAAGTGCATTTTGTAAATAACATCTTTAAGGAAAAGAGAAAATTACAGGAGAAGAAGGTCTGATATTGCTGCTGCTTTTTATGTGATTTCAGCTGCATTAATGGGTGACTGGAGTTACAGGCATAAGAATGTGGTTAGGAAAGATAATGAGTAAGCATGAGTACCAAAAATTGTAGGTAATAACCAACTTTTTAACTGAAAAATCATAAGAAATTTTCATCATGAAATGAAGGAATAAACAAAGATCAGCAGAAAGAATAATAATTCATATACTGTTGTGACAAAAACACAAAACAAAGATCTGACTACTCCTGTGTAATGGTCATTGTAAACTACTTACTAGCGTTGTATATGGATTATATTACATCACCTCTCAGATATTATTTAACATTTTCAGCAGTGAATACACCAGACAACCAAAGTCACAGAAGACTGAAAAAACCCTCAAACCCAAATCCTCCTGGCATATTTGTTAGCATTAAACCTATGTAACACAACCTGAAGTCTCTAAAATCTGCCAACATTAGATATTCAGAATTTGTCAAGTATCCTGAACACCACTACACTTCCTCTGATACTGAGCACTGTCACTGGTAATCCCAATGCAAGTGAATTTTAACTGCATCCCCTCAAAATGTGCTCTAGCAAAAACAGAAAACAGCAGAGGATAACCAAATCAGAGTCTTAGAAGAAATTCTCCCATGGAAGATGCCAATGGACTTTCCATTTAGCAGATAAGCATAGCACAACCTCAGCCAGCAACCTCGTTAGATCTTCTTGATTTACCTCCCTTGTCCACTGAGATCTTGAAATAGAAATACAGGTCTTATAACTAGACCCAAATGGAAATAGTGAAAGCTGAGTTTATTGAGGGCGGTGGATATTTCACTTGAACAGAGCAAGGATATTTCACTCCAACCATCTTCACATAATTTTCTAATCTTTTCATTCTGACACCTGCTGTTACCTCCAGTCTACAGTCCCAGGATATTACACAAATTCAACAGAAGAAACCAGTTACCTTCTCGGGGTGAGCTTCCACTTTTGTCTCTTGCACAACCTCAGATTTGACATTTTGCATAGAGAGAGATATTTTCAACAGTGGGGAAAAGTAAGCAAGAGAAGTTACCACTAGTGTGAAGTAGAAGTAAGTTTCAACCCTTTCCAAATGTTCTTGCTCTGCCAAAGAGCATCCACACAGACTCAGTGGGATGGAACTATCTAAAGAAGATGGATGGAGGCCAAAAAATATCTGAAGCCACTAGAGAGGATAGAAAGATGCATTTGGGAAATAGTGAGGGTTTGATATCAGAAAGATATTAAAAAGCTGTACTATGACTGAAGGGCTTAAAAGGAAGACCAAGCTGCTCAGGACAGCAGTTTGAGCTGCTGCTACAGCTACCTGGGAAGGATTCAGGAGTTATAATTTGCACAGTCTTTTGCAGGCAGATATGAGCTTATTTTGCACGAGCTGACCAGAAGCCATTCTGCTATGCCAGCATCCCATCAAGCGCTTGGTAGTAAGCCTTGCTGCAAAGCAGTGTGTATTCCATCAGGCAACGTACCCTTCTCACGTGGCCCCAGTCCTCAGGCTGACCCAGAGTGCAGGCTACAGTAAGCTCACATCAGTTTGCAAATGGGCGTGCACACACACTCACAAGGAAAAAAAAGAAAGAAAAAATATTTCAAGACCAGTGTGCAATGAATCCATCAACTAATAGGTAGGAAAAACTGAAGTTTGCAGCATCTGGGATGAGCAGTGGTCCCTGAGAAGCAGTTGAGAAAAATTAACAGGAAGATGGAGCTTACGGTGAGGGGAGATCAACACTGGATATGCTGACTGGGAGAGGGGACACTGAGAAGCCCCAAATTTTTACCAGAAGTTTCTTTCAGAGGCAGCTCTTTAACTGAGACACATGAAATACTGGAAATGTGAGACTTTTAATGTAGTAAAGGTCTGCATGTAACACCTTCTGTCACCTCCTAGCGATTATGGCAACTTTTTTTTGGCAGTGATTTGAATGCAATGCAACACAATTATATTATAAACTCTTTTCAAAAAAGTCAAAACAACTCAGGCACAATCACCTGGCTTCAGCCACATACCCCAAGATAGCTGGTATTCACATAATCACACCTGGGTTAGAGTCCAATACTGCAATACTGTATTAAATTCCATATTTGCAATATGGAAGTTATCTTCGATCTTTCATTCTCTTCTGATTGCACATAAACTGTCAATAACATTTATTGCTTTTTCCCTTAAACTTTGCAAATATAACTTTGGAAAGAGAGACATTTCATTTGATGAAAGAGCACAAAGACAAAAACTGCTTGCTACAGATACATAAAAAATATTGCTATTCTACTTTGCCTCCTATCACTTTTTTATTTAGCTCTTTAATATATGTCTTCTTTGGATGCAGCATACAACACAGATTGCCTTCCAAACACCTACTATTCATTATGTTATTTTCTAGTGATGTATATAAAAATATTAACTAATCTATTTTCATATCGCTGAGATAGATTACAGATTATTTTCTCCAATATACCTGGAGAAAAAAAAACCCTACACTTAAAAAGAACCTGCCTATTATCTTAAAACATTTCACAAAAATTATATGCATTGGAATTCAGAAATTGCTATGACTCTAACCTTAGTAAGATTTTGTCAGAACTGAAACTGTTCTTACTCGTTCTACTTTCATTTTCACATCTACAGTGACTTTTAGGAATGGACAGATCAAATTTCACATATTTATATAAATGCACCTTTGCATTGCATATACAAGTTTGGCATAGAAACACAAACACAAATAGTTAGCATATTTGTTAAGGATTTACTTAAGTCTTTTGGTTAAAAAATGTTAAATTGATTGGTCTCTTATTGAAATTCTCATCTTGCCAGAGCATTAATATATTTATCATAACTCCAGCAATGGCATCTGGAATCTTTAAGACATGTTACTTTTTGTGAATATCTTCATTATTTTTTGTACTGATTAAATTTGATGTAATAGTGAGAACATACTGACTTTATTTTAGCAAATGGGGAAACAACACAAATCTACAAGAAAGAAAATATATGTAATATACAAGCTTGGATGAAAACAGCTAAGAAAAGAAAAACAGAAAACCCCCAACAGCCCTTCTAAAGATTGCGTTTAAATGACTTGAAGCTTGCATTCAAATTAATTTCCAACTTTAGGTTTACATCACTGAAAGTCATCATCTCTCTTGATGGACCAATCAATTGTTTATAGGTAACTAAGAATAAGGAATACCAATTCAAACAAAAACAACATGATTAAGCTAAAGCAAAGGTTTTGAAGTACTCACCTTAGGCACCCAGTGGCATTGCGCAGCACCTGTGATGAATGGAGCTGTATTTTATGATCATCCTGGAGTGGAGAGTTTTCCCATCCAGAGTGAGGGATGATCACTGCATTGGTCAACACTGCAAGGGCATCCTGGATGATTGGCATTTTCAGTGCATCACAGGAGGATAGATTCCAGAGAACTCCTACAAAAAGTAAAATGACTAATAATTAACACTTCTCCAAAAAAAGTTTGAATAGTTTTTCTTTAAAAAACCCAATACAAACCAATATATTTCACAGCATTATTGTGTTTAATTTAGCTGTTTCTGTCAGAAAATAAAACAGACTACACTGTAGATGGGGCTGAATGACACCTGCAAACTTCTGCAGTGGGAATACAGCTTTAAATGCCAAACATGCATTCACAGCAGCACTGGAAATTTCTAAGTGTTCTGCCTAAAATCTGAGCAGCTGGTTATGATCTAGGTGCACACAGGCTGTGAAGCACACATGGAATGAAGGAGTATTACAAGGAATCTTTTAGGACTTGGTCTTCAGATATCTTCCTTCCAAGTAAAATGAATAAAAACCAGTAGCAGAAAACAGGTTCTGATTTACACTAGAATTTTCACTGTTGACAGATATACATTGAGAGAACAAAACCTCAGCCCTGTGATCTCCACTGTAATGGAAGTAACTGTCTAGGCTTGTTGGTATTACAAGCAAAAATACTTCCTCCACAATCTGATACAGTAGTACTTTCAGCAAGTAATATCATATTTTGTAAATATTTAGCTACACAAAGTTAGAGAATACTGTAATTTTTAGTTTAAAAAATTCTGAGTTTAAGAAAACCAAGATCTCTTCCATTGCAACTCATAATGGGCCAAAGAAAAAGAAGATAAATCAAGAGCCAAAGTTTTCTAAGCACATCTGCAAAGCTCAAGGTCACTGCAATTCTGCCACATAGAAGGCAGGCAAAAAATTGTTAAGAGCAAAAGACACACTGCTTTCCATTCCCCTATTTACATTTTTGTGTATTTGCTGGAAAAGCACGTGTGACTTTTGAGCTGTGCCAAGCGCCTGCTGCTGCTGGGCAGCTCTTATTGCTGGGGGAAGGACAATTTGCTGTTCTGAAGAACCAGTGATCTTTATTTTAGCTCGGCACCCTCCCAGGAGTAGCTGGAAGAGGAAGCCTGCCTCATCATGCACCTCCCCTTGCCAACATGCATCCTCTTCTGAAGAATCCAATCCTCCTCCTCCCTACTCTCCTTCCCAAAGGACAGTAGCCTGGCCTCACATCTGACCTGGAGTGGCAAAATTGGGTTTTGATTTTACATCTATCAAAGTTTTCAACCAAAAGAGAAGAATTACTACCATCATCATCATCATCATTGCATATAGGTTTCAAATACAAACACTACAAAAAATCCAAGTCAGTGTTGTGGGAGGAAAATTCTGAAGGAAGGCCTTAGGAACACAGACTCATTTATTTATAAATACAAGCAGCAAGAACACTACTTGCTCAAGATTTTCCTTAGCATTCTGTGCTTTACTAGAGCAGTGTAATTAACAGGAATCAACTTACATTTTTGGATTTCCCTTTAAAATTAATTACCTCTATGGGGAGACTGTTTCAGTTACTCCATTTCATGTTTCAATTATTTTATACGTGACTGTCTGCAAAGGTAGTTGCACAGTTTAATAAAATTTTGATCAGTATACTAGTAAAAAAACCCCATTAACATGATCTGCATGAGGCAGACCAACTTTAGCTACAGATAAAAAACCCCAGAAATAAGAAAACTGTTCATTTTAATAATGCTCATTTTTTCATTAAGGATTGCTACTTTAAAGGGAAAAGAGTCTTTGTTTGAATTCTGTTCTGAATGTCTTTATGAAAAGGAATTCCATATTTAAAGGAATAAAGACCTTCATAAGGGTATTTATACTATACTTGCTTTTCTATGTGTTCTTGCTCTTGGAAAGCTTTAATGGCACATCCAGTATTCTTGAAATACCTAGCATCTTGTCAGTAAAAAACAACAATATGGTTGCCTTTTTTCTTTTACATTTATCTAGACAGATGTAAATGATGTGCATGGTATAAAAACAGAGAATCAGAATGCAAATCTTTAAGGTTCAATTTAGTTCTTATACAAGACAATGCACTGTAACTTTGTGAAGTCCTACTTCAAAACTGAAGCAGAAGAGTGTTTTGATGGCAACAAAACAATACTTTGGGTTTCAAGAAGTAGTTATGAACTGGAAAAGCATAAAAGAATACAAAAGAAGCAAACATAAGAGCCCCATCTAGCAAAATGCTTAAGAACATGTATGTCAAAACTATTTTCTGTTCACTTCAGCTTCTTGCTAATTTAAAATAAACTCACATAAACATCATGGTATTCAGCAATATTTGAGCCTAGGAAATATTCTTTAAGCTCTCTTTCTCTCTGATTTCTCTAACTGGAAAATGAAACCTTCAGAGTAAGAGGATGATGGAATCACCAGGCTAAAATGGCTATTACACTTTCTCCTAAAATCATTTTAAGTCAAGGCAGAAGCGAGCAAAATTTAAGGCAAGGCAGAAGCATTGCCCAGTAAGCCTGATGCCTTCTTCCAAGTTTTTACTCCTCACAGTTTTAAAGAGTGAGATAATCCTCTTCCACCCCAGAACAATGCGTTTTATCTAATTGTGAGACTGAATACTACCAACCACATGAAACAAAAATTTTCTACTGACATGTTAAAATTTACTCTCACAAGCAGTGTGGTCTGCTACATGCTGATGCTGGCATTCTAGACGCCTCCTTGTAACCTTCTTAATTAAGATTTTGCAGTTATGAAAGGGCACTAGCAATTCACTTCTCACTATTTTTGCTGAGGATAACCTGGAGCTAGATTTATGTGGGGTCTGAGAAGATGATCCATTGCCTTGACTTTGCAAGGGAGAATGACAGTAAAATAAATCCTTCACCTGACACACCTTCCATTACAGAGCCACCTTTTCACCACACGATTCTGAACATTATTTTCCAAGTGTGTATTCATGACATGCCCTTTAGGGCTACTGCAAGAAGCTTTCAGAATACTCTGAAAGCCCTGCCTGAACTGGGTTTCTAAGCACAAGAAGCGACTCTGCAATAGCCTCAGAGGTGCCTTGACTGAGCCCTGGAGAATTTGCTTTGTCATCTCACTGCTGCTCACAGGAAGGTAAGCTAAGCACAAGAAGCGACTCTGCAATAGCCTCAGAGGTGCCTTGACTGACCCCTGGAGAATTTGCTTTCAAATGATGGAGTTATCTCACTGCTGCTCACAGGAAGGTAAAGGACTGGACTCACCACTGACCAATGACAAACAGTGGGATCCACCCAACAACCCAACAGTGCAACTCAACCGTTTACCATCTGTAGACTGACTCTTGTGAGAGGTATGAAATAAAGAACTAATCAGTGCTGAAAGTCTCTTAATCACTTTCATTCATATCTTATCTTCTTCTTGCTTTTAAAGCCGTGAGGCATTCAGATTAAGCATTTTGTGTCCCCATTTTCAGATCACTTTTTGGTTATATTGGAAGACTGTAGAAAGACAAAAAGAGCTACACCAGACTGAACAATTCTTTTTGCAGGTTGAGGTTTTTCACTCTTACACATAAAAAATGTAAATACAGTGAAATACATGTGACCTTGCAATCACATTTTAATTTTAAAACTGAGGAGAAACTGGTATTGAAAATATTCAGTTGATTCCAGTTAGAAGATGAATTTTGGGTCTGAGTATCAGTCTAGCAGACATCACATGAAGGATTCTTAGAGAAGACTACAGAAATGCTTATTCTGGAGATCTTCCATCATCAAGTTGCATCTTCTGGAGCAGTTTATCAGAGATCATACAGCTACTATGGTCAATGGGCTGCTCAATTTATTGGAGCAGTCAAGAGTGAAAACCCCATAATCTCTGAATCAGGCTGGAGCTCAAACTCGTGCTGATTAAAGACTTCACTGCATTTTTGTGCTGGTGTTTTAGTTAGAACTGGTATATGTGTACCTATAGTCAAACATAACTCAAGACCTGATAAGCCACATGCTATCCTTATGCCATTCAAAGCTAAGAAAATAGAGATCACATACATCTATGCAAAAAATACCATCATAGCAAGAGAACATATGCAAAACCAGGGAAGTCTAAATAACTATTTAGCTCATGATTTAATGTGACCTCAAATTATGACTTATATATAAAAAACAAACCTCTCACAACAACTTAGACTGCAAATATAAATGGAAACCATTAAACTGGAAAAGTAATCTTTTCCAAAAAGCATTGCCCCTTCCACTATGTTTTTAAAAATAAACTATATGGTAAAAAGATTGTAAGTAAACAAATACTGTTTGGAGAAAAGAGACTTTGATTCTTCTCAATAAGGGATGTTTAAGTCAACTTTCAATTATATTAAAATATTGCTTTTTTCATAGTCTCTGTAAAAATAATAATGTGAAAGTATTCTAATACATCCAGGTTCTCCTTTTCCATGGTAATTTAATAGTTTGGTCATGGAGTGATGCAGAAACCCCTCTGATAGTGCAGAGAGACTGCATCCCACAAATAGAGACCAAAGCATTGGCAGGCATTTTTCTTTATATGCTGAAGGCACAGAAATACTACTGGGAGTTCCCCTTATGAACATGACAATTAAGATTGAAATCTGAGTGCTAAATACCCTGAACAGAAGCCAAGCACAAGGGATCTTTTGCTGGAATCCTTAGGAAAAAAAACTTTTACCCCAAGCTCCCAAGTGCTAGAAAAGTCATTTGCTGGCTGCTGCTTGGAGACCGTGCTGTAATTGCAAGGCCGCTCTGCAGAGCTGGATCTGCTCCTTGGCAGCAGATGTGGGCTCTCGATAGATTACAGCAGTTCTGCTGCAGAGATGCTGAATATCAACCACAACATTTCTTAATACAAAGCGCAGTAAGACTTCACAACCAGCTCAACCGTGAGAAACTGGCTCAGTAACAGGCTTTCTGGAGGAAAGAAAAAGTGGCTGATTTGAAAAGTTCTGGCACCTGAACAACACACAGCTCAGAAGGAATCTCCTTAAAAGCACACTGTGAAAGTAAGTTAAAAATTGGCAAAACAGATGAGGAACCTTCACCAATTTTCTTGAAATATTTATCTGGTTTGTGAATGAGTACCTATGCAT